ATCCCTACCTCCTCCTCACACCTCAGCCTCCACCATCACCTCCATCCCTACCTCCTCCTCACACCTCAGCCTCCACCATCACCTCCATCCCTACCACCTCCTCACACCTCAGCCTCCATCTGCTTCACTACCTCATCTCTACCATCACCTCCACCTCCATCACCACCAGCTCTATCACCTCCTTCATACCTCAATCTCCACCATCATCACCTCCTTCAAACCTCAGCCTCCACTCTTACCTCCCCCCGCATCACTGCTTGGTCTCTTCCTCTTTGGTTTTGGTGGGGTGGGGTGGAAAGGACAACTTGGTGTAGGGCAGTAGGCAGTAAGGCAAGATTTGGCTCAGGGTGAAAGTTCATGTGGACCATTGTAGCAGCCTGGGTAGGAAAGAATGCTAACTGGGGTAGGGGGCTGGCAGGCAGCTCCTTGTCATGGTGGGCTCCTGTCCCTCTCCCAGGGATGAGGTGGTGGTGCTGGGACCATGGGTCGTCGGTGGGAGCCGAGGCCCTGCGTGCCCCCTGAATTCACCTTGCCCTGCCCCTGCAGTTCTGCCAACACCATGTTTGAGATGGAATGGCGTGGCCGGCGGGTGGCACTGAGGGCTAGCAACGGGCGCTACGTGTGCATGAAGAAGAATGGCCAGCTGGCAGCCATCAGCGACTTCGTTGGTGAGCACTTTTGTCCACCTGGGGGCTGGGGTCCTCTCCCAGGGACAGGGCCTGCTCAAGGCCCTGGCCTCCAGCCCTCCCCACCTGGGCACTGTGGGGCAGCGGTATACCTGGCATCAGACCAGGTAATGGCTCTTGACATCAGACGGCGACTAGACGGCAGGAACGCCCCTGCCCCTCCACATCGGGGAACAAGGCTCAGGCCTGGTGGCCTCACCGCCCGGCCCAAGGCCACCGTAGGCACCACGTGGGAGAGCTGGGTCTACACGCGCGAGGTCCCAGCAGCACCCTGCCCCCCAGGTAAGGATGAGGAGTTCACCCTGAGGCTCATCAACCGGCCCATCCTGGTGCTGCGAGGCCTGGACGGCTTTGTCTGCCAGCGCCGCGGCTCCAACCAGCTGGACACCAACCGCTCTGTCTACGACGTCTTCCACCTGAGCTTCAGCGACGGCGCCTACCAGATCCGAGGTGCGGGGCCCCGTCACGCGGCCGGTGCAGGAGGTCGGGGTCCCGCAGGCATGGGCAAGGCCCTGGGTGGCGGAGCATAGGGGCACACTCGCTCCCGAGAGCAGGTGCAAGGGGGCGCCAGACGAGGGGCGGAGCGGCATCTGGGCGCCACCAGCGCCAGAGGCGGCCCGCCGCGGGGCGCGTCTACGTCTCCCTCCCCCGGCAGGGGGCGCTCGGGCCTTCGCTCCGCCCCCTGGGCGTGGCGTGACCCGCAGCCCCGCCCCGCCCCCGCAGGCCGCCGCGGCGGGTTCTGGAACACCGGCAGTCACGGCAGCGTACGCAGCGACGGTGAGCGCGGCGAGGACTTCGTGTTGGAGTTCCGCGAGCGCGGCCGCCTGGCCATCCGCGCCCGGAGCGGCAAGTACCTGCGCGGCGGGGCCTCGGGGCTGCTGCGCGCCGACGCCGACGCGCCGGACGGGGTGGCACTGTGGGAGTACTGAGGCCCTGGGCTGCCTCCACCCATTAAACCGTGTCTGTGTCGCAGCTGCGCGTGGGCTCCGTGGCGCCGCCGGGGGAGCCCCCTCCCCGAAGCACCCCGGGATCCCGGGTGGGACAGGGGACCGAGACCACTCCGTGCGGGACAGTCCCTGCCGTGGGCCTCCAGCCTCGTCGCCACGGCCGAGGAGGAGCCCTGCCGGCCCAGCGTGGTGCTAGGTCAGGCCGGCATGAGGGTGCGCCTGCCCCTACAGCTGCTGCCCTCCCCCGGGCGTAGGGCCCCGGGGAGACCGGGGTGCAGGGTGGAGACACGCCCGCCGCCGCTGTGCCCTGGTCTCCGGGCGCTTCCCAGTCCGCACCGTGCGCCCCTGGCGCTCGAACGCACGAGCCCGGGCCTTCTTGTTGGTAGAGGTGCCTCACAGCGCCCCAAACCGGCCGGCAGCAGGACCCCTGGGTAGGCAAACGCCTTGTGGAGGCGCAGGTGACTGCCGGCGGAGTTGGGATCTGCGTGGCTCCCGGCAGAGGGGTCACCCTAGGCACGAGCCTAGATCTCACCTGAGGCAGGTGCCCTCACCCCTCCGCGACGCTCACAAAGGATGTGAGGCCCAGAGAGGGCGTGACCCGTCCTAGGTTAGTGTCAAGGAGACAGGGTGCCTGCCCAGGAATGGGGGTGTTCTAGGAACAGAAGGGGGTGTCAGGGTGCAGAGCAGGTCCAGGGGGGTGGCGGCGATCCGGCTGGGACACAATCCTGTAACCCCGAGGGAGCCCCTCAGGACACCCTGGAGACCCGCGGACAGCGCTGGCATCCCCACCCCATAGCAACAAGAAACAGGCTTGGCCTCTTGGGCCCCTTCCTGTCCTATGCTGCCCTCTGGTGGGGGCCGTGGCTCATGCAACCAAGGCGGGCAGGGGCGTTAAGAGGGGCCCCAGGTCATTTGGCACGTGCCCTGGGTGGCTCCCACATTTTAGGGCCCTCCATGAAGGGTCTCAGTGACTGGGGCCAGACTTTGCCTAGGGCCTTGGCCACTTGAGTGGAGCCCGAGGGTCCTTGCCTCTGGCTGCCCCAGTTCTGGGTGACAGGCTTATGGGATGGGATGTGCTTGACCCCATGGCACCCCTAGTCTGTGGAAAGGATAGGGTAGGGGACACACCTTTCTCCAAGCCAGGCTCTGGAAGGCTTGAGGCGGGCAGGGGAGGGTGAAAGAACCAATCAAGCCTGGAGTCACTCAACAGAAGGCTATGTCTGGTGAGAAACCATGTCTGGAGGGTGACCTTTACAGCAGGGGGCTGGCCAATAGAAACTGTAGATGTCCACCTTGCCGCCCCCCCAAACACACACCAGCACCAGGGGAGGTGTCAGCCTGGGGCCACCACCGTGGAGTGCTGGGGACCAGCCCCAGTGAGGCACCTGGTCGCGGGGCGCTGTGGCCTGGAGGCTGCTGGCTGGAGCTGAGCACCTGGGGGGACCCCACCCCCAGTCTTTGTGCTTCAACCACAGAGGAGCTGCAGAGCTTCAAGGAGGGGAGGCTTGGCTCCGGCACCGAGGGGTCCTATGGAGGCCACGGGCAGCTGCCAGAGGGAGGGAAGCTGATAAAATGCCAACAAGCCAAGGGGGAGGATCTTGTCCCATGGTCACCTCCAGGCCCATCCACGGCCTAAAACAAGAGTACTCTGCCAGGCGGGCACAGGGTCCCGGTGGACCAGGGGGTGGGTAAACAGGAGCCCTGTGGACAGGGAGGGGCGGGCAGGTGCAGACGCCAGAGCCCAGGACGCCTGGCCCCCTGGGTCGCACCCCAGGGCCAGCCTGTGTCGTGGTTCTTTCTCTGCAGAGTCCCAGCCCTGCCCACTAGAGAGCAGGCGGGGCCCTGGGGCAGGAGGTGCACCTGTGCTCACAGCAAGACCAGGCTGGGGCTTCGGAGCTGCCGGTACACCTCCAGGAGCTGTTTTGCAGTGGCGCGGGCGCTGGCCTCGTCCTCCAGGGGTAGCCGCTCCCGCAGAGCCTGCACCTCTCTCAGCAGCACCTGTGGCGGGCAGGTGGTGGGTGAGGACATGCTGCCGTGGCCGCACCCGCTGCTGAGAACGCCTCCACGTGCCAATCCTGCGGGGGACTTGGTGGGAGCCAAGGAGGGACATCATCTGTGACCTTAAAGCATGTCAAGTGCAGTGGGGGATATGTGCCCGACCATGGGAGCCGGGAGGGGTGGGCCGACGAGACCATGTTCCCAGGTGACAGAGTGCACACAAGGTAGGACAGGCAGGCAAGTGAGGCAGGGGCAGAGGGGCAGGAGGAGGCCTGTCAAGGTGCTCTGCCCACTGCTGGGGCCCACCATCCACGGTGCTGACAAGGCGAGGCTCCCTTCCTGCTGGTCCTGCCGGCTGGGGAGGGCAGCTAACCCACCTCTTGTGCTGTCCTCTGCTCAGGGAAGGAGCTGAGTGACCGTCTCCTACATGAGGGCTAGGCAGGGCCTGGCCGTGCTGACTCTGAGTACCAGTGTATGCCGTGGCTGAAGGTGGCCCACTGGGTGGGGGCTGGCCAGGCCCCGTGCCAGCAGTCCCGTGGCGCTCACCTCGTGGTCGGCGTGGATCTGCCGGAGGCGCTGCACGCGGAGGTCTGGCGGCCTGGAGCCCTGGGCGGCCTGCTCCACCAGCGTCTGGGGGACACGGGTTGTGAGGAGGCATCTGGGAACCATGGGGGCTGCTGGCATCTGCCCTCATGCCCCTTGCAGAAGGACTCCTACCTGGGTCCTCCTTCCCACCCTGCTTTTCACCCTGGGGGTTCGAGCCCCTACCCCGTCCGTGGCTTCAGGCCAGCGCTCACTGCTCCAGCCCTGGCTGATGCCCGGCTCAGGTGGCCCTGACGTCCCTCTGCTCACCCACTTGGCATGGCCTGGCTTGGGGACCCTGCAAACACTCTGTCTTCCCACCTCTTGGGGCCCCACCTCACTCCCAGCTTGGACTTGAGCCCGGGGTCTGGCCTGCAGCCCACCTGCACCGTCTGGGCTGAGCACAGCAACGATGAGGAACCCTGAACCATGTGGGGCAACTCATCCCCCAAGGGGACTCAGAAAACCCAAGTGCCCCATGAGTGCCACTCACCCCTCAGGTGACACCTGCACCCCGAGCCCCCAAAGGCACCAGTCACAGCCCACCACCCTGGGAGCGATGACAGAGCTGGCTCCTCCATCTGTGGCATATCCCCATCTATACACACCTGGGTACTCCCTAGAAATGCCCACCCGTCTGTACACACGTGGGTGCCCCTGTGGCCGCCCACACCCAGCGAGAATGCCTGTGCACTGGCTCAGGAATTGCTGTCCTGTTGTCGCCAAGCCCCACACGGTACCGTCGTTACTGTGATTGTCCTTGATTTTTGTGGACCTCTCGGTGTCTCCTCCGCCTTGGTCACATCATGCCGACTTCCTGCACTGCTGTACTGCCGTTCCCTCCTCCAGAATTTTCACGTGCACGCTATCTGGGCGGTGATTCTCCCTACCGCCCCCATTTCTGGCAACCATCAAAGAACGTCTGTGTGTGTAAACCTTTGCTTGAGTTTGCCATGTTCGTTCTTTTATAACTGACTTATTTCACTCAGCGTGACGTCCTCTCACTTCACCCACGTGAGATGTTTCAGATTCCGCGTTTGTCCTTTCACACCGCGTAGTGTCTACTTGCGTAGGGACCAGTCTATCTGTTCATCCACGAACGGCCACTTAGGCTGCCTTCATCCCTTCGTTACTGTGAACACCACCGCAGTGCACACGGGTGTGCATGTCCACTCGTGTCACGGGTCCATCCTTTCATTACCATGAATGATGCCACAGTGCACACGGGTGTGCATGTCCACTCGTGTCACGGCTCCATCTTTTCACTTGTGAATGGTGCCGCAGTGCACACGTGTGCATGTCTACCCGTGTCACCGCTCTTACTTCTCTAGTGAACATACCCAGGAGTGGGACTGCTGATCACTGGGGGTCCTACCAGTAGCTCTGGAAGGAAGCGCTGTACTGTTTTTCAGCAGGGGCTGTCCCATTCCACACTCCCACCAGCAGGGCATGGAGGGCCCATCTTCCCACAGCCTGCCGGCATTTCGTTTTGTTTTTTGGATCAGTATCGTTACTGTCGGAACGAGCCGGTAGGTATCTCATCGTAGCTCTGACCTGCATCTAATGGTTAACTCTTGCAAGCACCTGTTTGTCGTTTGATTTCCTGACTGCTGTTTCCGGGGATGTTGACTGTGGGTCCAAGGACAATGACCTTCTATTTGAAACTCCAGTGCCCCTCGCCTGGCACAGTGCTCGGAGCAGCCCATCCCTGGTCCTGCAGACAGGCGGACCAAGCCTCTTCCCTAGGATCTGGGCACAGGCTGGCAATTCCTCCCACCTTCCCAGCAAAGGCGCAAGGGTCAGAGCCACAGGTACGGCCTTGCAGGGAAAGTACAGAAACTGACCACTGACCACAGCAGGGAGTGACCCCTCCGCCCAGCTCCCCCACACCCTGCAGCCGTGGGTGCTGCTACAGCGCACGTGGTTGGGCGGGGCCACCTGCTCAGAGCTCAGCTCCATCAGCTGCAGAGAGAAGCAGGAGAGAGGGTCTCCCATGCTGACCACAGTGGCTGCCAGCAGGGAGCCCAGCTGACACTGCCTACCTGCATCCGGCAGATGACTGCATGGTGTGCCTGGCCCACATTGGCCAGGGAGGTGCTTTCCACCTGGATCTCCACAGCCTGGATGGGGCCTGTAGGGCCCAGGTCTGGCACAGTGACCTGCAACACAGGTCGGAGGTCACAGCTAACTGCCCCTGCCTTAGCTCAGTGTGGAAAGGCCTAGGGCCTGGGCTCCCCCACATGACCAGTCCCACCTGGGGCCAGCCGGCCAATACAGGAAGAAGCCCGCTCACTTGGAAACATGCCTAGGAAGACCCCTGCCCCTCAGAGTCCACCCTGGGGCTCAGGACTCACACTCAAGCCAGGAGCAGATCTACTGCTCACCCCAGAGACCAAGTGACTGCTGGCACCCCGTCTCTGGAGACCCCCTGCTGCCAAGAGACCCTGCCCCACATCTACACTGAGGGTCCCCTTGGATGCTGGGCTGGGCCAGGGTGAGCACAGGAGCTGGCCAGAACCAGCAGGGGCTGCCTCGGAGGCATCGACCACACTGAGCTTGGAGGACGTGTCCGGCAGGGACAAGCTGAGAGCCAGGATATGCTGGCCGGACCCCCTAGGTAGGGCCTCCTTGGGGACGTGCCCCCTGCAGTACCAGGTCCCAGCACCATGAGCCAGGGACATGCCATTGCCAGCTGCCTGTCTGCCTGGCTACCCTGGAAGAGCCTGCTGTGCCCCCTGAGTGCTGCTGGAAGGGCCATGGCCGGCCTGCCTGGAGAGCCACGGAAGAGGCTCGTGCCGGGAGGGGTGTTGAGAGCAGTCGGTGGCAGGCTATTGCCGCACAAGGACGGGCGTATGTGGCCTCCTGGGGTCTGGAGCCAGAGGTCTGCAGGGTGACTGTGGTGCCTCCTGGAGTTGCAGGCACCGCGGGCAGCACCGGGCACAGGGTGGCCTCCTAGCTGTGCCTGTCAGCATCTCCAGCTCCACGGGCTGCTGGGGCCTCAGAGGGATGGAGACACAGTGTGGACTGAATTAGGGAACGCTTGCAGAGCGCCTGGCCCTTGTGAAGACCCTAAGGGCCGTGCCAGCACCACTGCCTCTGACCGCAGCCCAGGGAGCAGGCACCAGGGACCTGACCGCAGCCCCGCCTCAGGATCGGAGCATCTGCACTACAGATGGCTTTCTGTAAGCTCTCAGGACGCTGGCCCAACAGGCCCAGGGATCTGGGGTGACCCCTTGGACCGCCAGAGCAGCAGGTGGATCCCTGCTTGCCTCATGGATGGTGAGGCGGACATCAGCACCGTCGGGAGCCACTCCCTGCACAGACGTCAGCGCTTGGGCCCTCACGACATCCACGGTGGCGTTGTTGGCCAGCAGCCACTGGAGGGTGGCACAGCACAGCGGCACACCTGCAGGGGAGGGCTCGTGAGCTTCGGCACCTGTGCCGCGGGCCCTGGCGGGCGAGCACCCAGTTAGCCCCGAGGTGCTTGGCAACTAGGCTTGAGGAGATGCCCCGGACCCCCGGCACATCCAGTCCCGTGAGGCGGTTGTGCTTCACCTCGTGCGACAGGAGAGCAGGTCCGTCAGAGGGCTGAGGAGGCACAGGGGCGGCGACGGCGACCGCACCCAGGGCTCAGGCCTCGTCTGGGCCCAGGTGGGCGACCCACCTGCGTGCACGGCCTCCAGGGCAGCCCTCAGGAGCTCTGCTGACACCCGCACAGAGGCCACAGATGGCGGCAGGTACTTGGCCCGAAGGGCAGCAGATCCCCCTGGCTCACTGCGCTGCTCTTGGCAGGCTCTCAGGAAGGTGTCCACGGGGTCGGCAGGAGACACGGCGCGACGGGCCGCCTGCGTGTTGGGTGTGGCGAGGCCAGGGAAGCGGAGGCACTGCAGCAGGTCCACGGTGTGCACGCCCAGGGGCAGGCATGTGCCCTCCTGCGTGGGCAGCAGGTCTGGCGGCAAGCGTGCCCCACCCATGACCTCCCTGAGGCTACAGGAGAGCGCACAGGAGATGGTAGTGGGCAGATTGGCCCCGGCGTCCTCACTGGAGCCCAGGGACAGCGTCACCTCGCGCTGGGCACCGGGGGCCAGCTGCTGCACGGGGACAGTGTACGTGGTGCTGGCCGCAGCCGCGTCCAGTTGGCAGGCGTGGGAGCTGGCCAGCACCTGGAGGCACCAGGTCCATCCAGGGCCGAGGCTGTACCCGCTACGGTTCTGCAGTCGGCAGGTGGCCGTGAGCTCCTCATGCAGGCCCCGGCAGCTCCAGGCGGTGGAGGTGCTGCACACGATGGGCCTGGGGCCTCGCTGGTGGGACAGCAGGGCGCAGCTCACGTCCAGGGCCTCGTGGAGACGCGTCAGGGCCTGGTTCCGCTGGTCGACTGCCTTCTTCAGGGAGGACACCCTGGACAAGTGCAGGTCAACAGTGAGGGGTGAGGAGCCAGACTGAGGTCTGTCCGTGAGGTGGGTGTGCCAGGCCGCTCGGGGCTGCCTCTGGGGGGCTGGCCCCACCGCGCCAGCTCACTGCAGTCGTGCCTCCTTTGTGGAGCTCTGCAGGCAGCCAGGAGACCCGGGCAGCTCGGGGACAGCCAGAGCCACAGGGGACCTGGAGCTTTAGCTCCTTGCTCTCCGGCCTCAAAGGGTGGACAAGGGGCTGAGGCCTAGAGGCCAGAGACGCTTTGTCTCCATGTGTCCCTGCGGCCAGGTCTGGGCGGTGAGGACAGGAGGGGGTGAAAAGGGTGGGGTCCATGTCTTCCTGGCTCCTTGATGAGCCGCTGCCCAAGCAGAGAGGCACTGGGACCCCCGATGGGGAGGCAGGAGCAGAGGCACAGCCTGGGCACAGACCAGCGTCACCGCAGGTGTCAGCCTCCCCCAGGGCCAGCAGCTGCTCACCTCTCAGAGACATTGCTGATAGCTGACAGTAGATCTTGGATCTTCCGGCTGGCGAGAGCTGCTTCCATCCGGGCAGGGCAGGCCACCGTGGGGTCTAGGGCTAGGCTGCAGGCCAGCAAACGGCCCTTGGCAGATAGTGCCAGGAGCTCGGTGTCTTCTGAGGGGAGACAGGAGGGCTGGTCAGTGAGGAAGAGCAGGTGCTGGGGGCTGGGGGCTGGAGCTGTGAGGAGCTCCGGGCAGAGCCTCTGTGGCTATCCTGTGCATCCTCATAGGCCTGTGATGGCACCGAGCCCACAAACAGGGCAGGACGGACCTCACTGTGGGTGATACCTGCCTCCGGGCCCCTCATTGAACTGGCCTTGCCAGAGGGGGTGTGGCTCCTGCCACCAAGCCCCGTTTGAGCTCTGTTCTTCCAGGACCTTTCTGGAAACCTGCTTGTCCCTAGTGTCATCCAGCCTCCAGCTCCAGGACTACATGGAGCTCTCCAGGGAACATGAGTTTGTCTTCCCAACCCCAGGCCCCTCAGGCTCTCGCTGGGTGAGAGCCAGGCAGGCACTCGTTCTGGCCCCTGAGCAGCTGCCACCAGTGGCCCCACGGCACTGCTCTGACCTATCAGCTCACACATCCTGACCATCCGACCATCGGCTCACACGCCCCGACCGTCCGACCATCGGCTCACACGCCCCGACCTTCCGACTGTCGGTTCACACGCCCCGATCATCAGTTCACACGCCCTGTCAACTCACACGCCCCGATGACCGTCTGACCATCAGCTCACACGCTGAGAGGCTCCACCACCTCCACTCTGCTCTCCTGACGGCCTGGCTTCTCTCCCTGAGCCTCTCAGAGGCGCACTCACAGCCACTTTAGTTCTGTCCCTCCGTACCGGGCACCACGGCTGAACCTCTGGCTCTGGGCAGTAAGCCCCCACCTCTGCAGCCCCAACCTCATGGCCAGACACAAACTGTTGGCAGGAGCTACCCATGACCTACTGGGGTCACAGCCACAAGACCTTGAGGGGCCGAGCTGGCAGCTCTGGGGGAGGGGCGGGCCTGCCTCTGGCCAGTGGTGCGTACCCTCAGGAGCTCCGGGTGACACGGAGAGGGCGGTGACGCCGCACACTCTCAGGCTGGCTGGACACAGCAGTGGGGGAAGGCTGGGCTTCATGGGGTCTGTGGAGACAACGCCTGGGGCCAGGTCCACCACGCAGAGGTCCGACGGGGTGCCATGGTAGATGCGGCTGTCCCTGCCCCAGGCAGCGCACAGCACGGGGCCTGGGAGCCGGGACTCCTGAAGCTCCGGCACCGGGTTCCCGGCCTGGTCCCGGCCGGCCTTGATGGCCAGCACCCGGCCGTGGTGGCCGAGGGCTACCAGGCAGTCGGCATGGGAATGCATGCCCTCCTGGGGCTGCGGCTCCATCCTCAAGGCTCCTATGAGGACGACGGGCTCCTCCAGGTGGTGGAGCAGCCTGACCAGGGTTCTCGGGTCCCCCGGGGCTGTCCGTGAGGTGACCAGGGTCTTGAGGACCACACAGCAGAGCTGGCCGTCAGGGAAGCCGCAGAGAACCACAGGCGACCCCAGGAGTGTGGCGTCAGCTCCAAAGAGCAGACCAAAGAGGGCCCCGTGCAGCAAGAAGCTCCCGGGGCTCCCGAGAGGGCTACGTGAGGCCCTGGGGTCGGGTGGGGATACACAGCAGAGCACTGGGAGGAAGCAGGTGGCTGGGGGCTCCCCGGGACCCCCAGCTGGTGGGGCACTGGCAGGAAATGCCACCTCGCCAATCTGGGTCCCTGGCCTGGGCTCCAGGCCTGCCCAGGGCTGCTCCCACAGCTGCATCTTCCACGTAGCTGGGCCCTGCGCCACGGTGACCAGCATGTTGTCGAGCAAGGTGAAAGCACACAGTGTGGCATCAGGGAGGACGCAGGCATCACGGCCCACAGGGGTCACGCTGGGAGAAAGCTCACTGTCCTTGCTGTCATCCTCGGCCCGGCTCACCGACCTTCGAGGACACAAGGACCTCTGTCAGGATAAGCTGCGGGAGGCCACATGTTCCCTCAGCAGGAGCTGCCACAGGACCCTGGGTCTGGGGTCTTCATAGGGAGCCCCCTGAGGATCCCTGCAGTGACACCATCACAGCTCCTCAAGGACCCCAGCTGGCCACCTACCCAGTGCTGGCCAAGAGGGAGGAAGACCAGGCAGAAAAGTTCCAGAAACGGTTTGGACAGGAAATTTTCAGTGCAGAGACCTGTCTGACCCAGAGGCCACGTGCAACGGGCTCACACGACCTTTTGACATCATAAGCCAGGTGCAGAAGCCCAGCTCTGCACTGGGGACCAGGCAGGGACACCCTTCCCACGCAGACACTGCGCTGCTGACAGTGCCTTCAACACAGCCACGGAAGTGACTGTCTTTGGAGGTCCGCCCCTTTGTAGAGAGCCAGCTCAACGGGGAGACCCCAGGACACAGTGCCGGCCTGCAACCATCCTGTTTCGGATGCACCCCTGCCCGCAGCGCATCCGGCGAACCAGTCACGAAGCCTTCTGCAGGGAGTTGGCTCTGGGAGAAGGCACCCAGCTGAAGGAGGAGCTGCTCCATGTGGGGCACCCGCGGCGCCCGGACTGGGAGCTGCGCGAGCCCCCTTCCCGCGTGATGACCACTGAGCTGCCCTAGCCCCGCGCGCGAACAGAACCCACCCGTGGACATCGCGAGCGCCCACAGGACGCGGCCCTCACCTGCTCCGCGCGGCCAGGGGGACGCAGAAGAGGCCGCTGCGCGCGCACAGAACGCACAGCGCCCGGCGGGGCACCAGCAGCTCCACGTGCCACACCTGCCCGGGGAACGCGTACGCCGCCTGCAGGCGGGGAGCGGCGTGTCGGCACCGACCAGCCCGCGCTCCTCCCCGCCCCCCGGGAGACCCTGCTCACGCTCGGACGCCGGGCCTCCCGGTCGTACACGTAGACAAGCTCGCCCCCGGTGGCCAAGAAGACCTCGGCGCCGACGCCCAGCACGCGTGGCCGGCCCGCGGCCAGGCCCCCGGCCGGGCAGCGGAAGGCCGCCAGGTAGTCGACCCGCCGGGCGGCGCCGGCCATGCTAGGCCCGCGGCGGGAGAAGGCGGCCGAGGTACCGCCCTGTGGGCGCGCGGCGGCGCTTTACGGCCGCCCACGACACCGCGGCCGTAAAGTGGGCGTGCGGGGGTGTGTCCCGTGTCCCGGAGCCTGGCGGGAACCCGAGGCGGGCCCCGGTCGCGCGGCGCTGCTGAGGGGCTTGCCCCGGGGTGCGGCAAGGCCCGGGGACGTGCCGGGGCGTGTCTGGTTCTGCAGACAAGGACAGCCCCGGTCCAGGGTTTGGGGGGTCACGTGCTTGGAAAGTCAGTGGACACAGGGTAGCTTAGCAAAGGCGTCATCGACCTTAGTTTGAAGCAAAACTCAGTCTCGGGGCTATGCCCGCCTCCCTCGGCGGGGTCTCCGCGCCCGTGGGGTGACTGCGCGGGGGACCTGGCCTGGAACCCGCTGGCTCCGGGCGCCTGCTCAGGGCTGGCGGCCTGCCCCTCAAGGACTGGACGCCCCTGCCTCGAGGCGGCCGCCATCCCCAGGACACCCTCCCTGAGCTGAGCACGCGCTGTGCGGGCGTGCTGGCCGTCGGCGGGACAGTGGCGTCGCGGAGCCGCCAGGGGGAAGGGGGGGTTGCGGACAGAGGACAGTAGAGACAAGACTGGCTAAGCCCATGGAGGAAGGAGCCTGGGGACGAGGGTGGAGCGGGCAAAGCACCTCGCTCGTCTGGGGGGGGAGGTGCTCTCACCACTGCCCCCAAAGGCTACAGCCAGCAGGGCACTGGTTTGGGCACGGTGCCGGTGCGAGGCCACCACTTCCCTGAAGTCTGCAGTGTGGCCCCTTCCTCTGCGGAGGAAGTAAGATGAACGCCTCAACAAAGTGGAAGCTGAACCAGGCAGAGAGCCAGCCACTGGCCGAGTACAGGGCTGAGCCGGACACAGAGTGGCATTTGCCGTTTGTGGTGTGGGCCTCTGCTCTCAGAGCAGCTCTGATGGGGCTGTCCTTGTTGCTGGGAGTGGGGGAGGCCATGCAGGGGCACCTTGTTCCTCACGCGGCCACGACACAGCTGATGTTCCTCCTCACTCAGCACTGCGTCCTGGGGGATGCGGGGTCTTTTGCCCACCCTGACATTCCACTCTGCTCAGCTCCTCCTAGTCACTAGCTCACGCTCACCGATTCCTGCCTCATCCTCCCAGGGTGTCTGCCACAAGGGGAGGCCTGTGAGGACCACTCTAGACATGACCCCAGGGGAGGGCTCAGGCTGAGCCAACAGCCTCACCAAAGCCTAGGCCAGTAGGGGCTGGAAACTCCAGCCCCACTCTGTTCTGTTGAGGGTAGTGAGCTCTCCTGGCCCCAAGCCAAGCCCAATACCCTGTGAGACAAAGATTTAGGACAGGCCCTATCTACACAGCAAGGAGCCTGGTGATGTGGTGGCTAAAGCACTCAGCTGCTAGCTGAAAGTCAGCAGTTGGAACCCACAGCTGATCCACAGGAAAAGATGAGGCAGTCAGCTTCCTTAAAGATTTGCTGTTGTTGGGTGCTGTCGGGTCCTCCGACTCACAGTGGCCCCATGCACAGCAGAATGAAACACTGCCCAATCCCACGCCAGCTCCATGATCCCTGCTATACTTGAGCCCATCGCCCCAACCATTGTCAATCCATCTTGTTGAGGGCCCTCCCCCTTCATCAACCCTCCACCTTACCAAGCATGACATCCTTCTCCAGGGAATGGTCCCCTCTGACAACATGACCAAAGTGGGTGAGACGAAGTCTGGCCATCCCTGCTTCCAAGGAGCATCTCAGCTATACTTCTCCAGGACAGATCTGTCAGATCTTTCAGCAGTCCGTGGTACTCTCAGCATTCTTCGCCAGCACCACAGGTCAAAAGCATCAGTTCTTTGGTCTTCCTCATTCACTGTCCTGATCTCATGCATATGAGGTGATTGAAAATATCAATGCTTGTGTCAGGTGCACCTTAGTCCTCAAGGAGACATATTTGCCCCTCGGCACTTGAAGGAGGTCCCTTGCAGCCAACTTGCCCAGCGCTATATGTCATCTGATATCCTGACTGCTGCTTCCATTGGCCTTGATTGTAGAACCAAACAATGTGAAGTCGTTGACAATTTCAGTATTTTCTCCATTTATCGTGATGCTGCTTATAGGTCCAGTTATGAGTTTTGTTTTCTTTATATTAAGAATGTCATCCATACTGCAGACTGTACTCTTCAATCTTCATCAGTAAGTGCTTTAAGTCATCCTCTCTTTTAGAAAGCAAAGTTGTGTCATCAGCGTATCATACATAAGTTGTTAATGAGCCTTCTTCCAATCCCGATGCCACGTTCTTCTTCATATAGTCCAGCTTCTTGGGTTATTTGCTCAGCATACAGATTGAATAAGTATGGTGAAAAGGATACAAACCTGACGCACTCTCTTCTTGATTTTAAACCATGCAGTGTCCCCTTGTTCTGTTCGTGACAGGCTCCTGTTCTATGTACAGGTTCCTCATGAGTACAATGAAATGTTCTGGAATTCCCATTCTTCACAATGTTACGCATAATTTGTTATGATCCACACAATCAAATTACTTTGCATAGTCAATAAAACATAAGTAAACATCTTTCTGGTATTCTTTGCTTTGAGCTAAGATAAATCTGACATCAGCAATGATAGCCCTCGTTCCACACCCTCTTCTGAATCCAGCTTATATTTCTGGAAGCTCTCTGTCAATATATTGCTGCAACCGCTTTGAATCATCTTCAGTAAGATTTTACTTGCATGCGATATTAATGATATTGCTTGGTAACTTCCACATTGTGGGATCACCTTTCTTTGGAATGGGTACAAATATGGATCTCTTCGAGTCAGTTGGCCAGTGAGCTGTCTTCCAAATCCCTTGGCATAACCAAGTAAGTGTCTCCAGTGGGGCATCTGTTTGTTGAAACATCTCAATGGGTATCCCATCAATTCCTGTTGCCTTGTTCTTTGCCAATTCCTCCAGTGCAGCTTCAACTTCTTTGAACCATTGGTTCTTGATCGTATGCCACCTCCTGAAATGGATGATTAACCAGGTCTTTTTGGTACAATGACTGTGTATTCTTTCCATCTTCTTTTAATACTTCCTGCATCATTCAATATTTTCCCCATAGAATCTTTCAATATTGCAACTCAAGGCTTAAATTTTTCCCTCAGTTGTTTCAACTTGAGAAATGTCAAGCATGTTCTTCCCTTTTGGTTTTCTAACTCCAGGTCTTTGCACATTTCATAATAGTAATTGTTTTTGTCTGCTTGAGCTGCCCTTTGAAATCTTCTGTTCAGCTCTTTTATCTTGTTGTTTCTTCCACTTGCTTTAGCTACTATCTGCTCAAGGGCAATTTTCAGAGTCTCTTCTGTCATCCTTTTTTTCCCCCGTCCTCTCTTGTCTTTTTAATGATCTCTTGCTTTCTTCATGGATAATGTTCTTGATGTCATCCCATAATTCTTCTGGTTTTCAGTCACTGGTGTTCAATGCATCGAATCTATTCTTTAGATGGTCTCTAAATACAAGAGGGATATATTCAAGGTCATATTTTGGCTCTTGTGGACTTCTTTTAATTTTCTTCAGCTTCAACTTCAACTTGCATATGATGAGCAGTTGATGGTCTGTTCCACAGTCAGCTCCTGGCCTTGTTTTGGCTGAAGATACTGAGCTCCTCCATCGCCTCCTGCCACAGATGCAGTCAATCTGATTCCTGTGTGCTCCATCTGGTGATGTCCATGTGGATAGCCGCCATTCGTGCTGTTGAAAAAGGGTGTCTGCAGTGAAAGCCATTGGTCTTGCAAAATTCTGTCATGCAGTCTCCAGCCTTGTCACCAAGGTCAAGTTGTCCAACCACCGATAATTCTTGTTTCCAACTTTTGCATCCCTTAAAGATTTACACTCTTGGAAACCAACTGAGGTAGTTGCGCTCTGTCCTCTAGGAGTGCTGTGAGTCACGGCAGGGGGTTGGTTTTGGTTTAACCCACACTAACGTGCCAGAACTCGGGCAGGGAGATGCGGGAAGGCTGGCCCCCACTGAGCCTGTGCAGTGGGGAGGGTGGTAGTTGCTTCCAACACACCATCCAGTGTGTACGGATGACTCTTCTGGGGGCAGACGCAGGTTACTCGGTGTGGTAGTTAAGGTTGCGTGTCCACTTGGCTGGGCCTGGGTGAGTGGCTGGGCAGCTGGAGGTAGTTGTTCCCCATGAGACCAGCAGTCAACTCCATGGCGGGTAATCGGCTGCGAGCGGCTGAGCTGCTTTAGGGGCGTGCTCTGCTTCCTGTGTATAAGCTTTGGGCTCGGTCCCTGCCTTCTGACATGCTTGAATGCTGCATGTAGCCAAGTTATTGTTCAACAGCCTACCATGCCCTACCAACCTTGGGACTTCATCTGGACTTGAATTAGTGGCCTGCCATGTTGTTTGGTAAGACTGGGGCTGTGCCTTTTTACTTTTCAACCTCAGCAGTGAGCAGCTTTTTGAGTGAAGAAAAGCCTCCAGCTTCAGTGGGAGCAGGAGGCAGAGCTGAAGCCCAAGGTTGAGGGGCTTTCACCCAGGCCCTAGAGCCTGGCACTTTGAGCTCACACTTCTAGCCTCCCAAACTGTAAGAGAATATGCTCCTGGTTATTAAAGCCATCCCATTTGTGGTCTATTCCTATCAGAGCAGCACTAGGCAACCAGAACATTCGGGAAGCTGGACAATCCCAGGATCCGCAAGGGAGAGAAACTACCCACAGCGCACTCGGAGGCTTGGCTGGTGGCTGTGTGGCTGGACACTGGGGCTCAGCATCCGCAGAAAGAACAAGTCAGGAGGCATGGCGTGAGGACACTGGGCCGAGCGCTGCTCCCGTGGCTACTCTCCAGCGCCCAAATGCTGGGTGGGGCGCAGTGCAGGCAGGCTGCTGTGTGCAGGCCCTGGGAAAGCTCCCAGCCGTCATGCCTCTCAGCACTGGCATTTCTCCCTGTGGGCCTGGAGCTGCCACAAGGGGCAGGCTGTGTTCAGGTCTCTCAGCAGCTCGTGACTC